GAAGGGGGTAATGTGTACACTCAAAAATAATAAAAGGGGAGGGTGATAAGTGGAAAAGATTCAACAGTTATGAAAGATTATGAGAAAATCTATGATTGATAGAGTGGTTAGGAAAATAGGACTCTAAGAATTCCAGAAAAAAAGGAGATGTTACATCATAAGTCGCCAGTTGAAAACGATTTAGTGCATGTCTACGCATCTCGAGGAAAAAGTCATGATTACAGTCATGGCTAAAAAAAATGGCTTCGACGGTTGAAGATGATCCCTATAAATAACAAAGGCTAAGCTACAGAGAAATGATCCACTATCAAATACAACAAACTCTACACAGAGTCATCCTACCTTATATTCACTTATTCTTGCTCTTGAGTAACTTTATTTTTTTGTAACCCATCAATCCGTTGATCTTATTGCTTTTATTTAATGCTAAGTACAATACTTGTTTCATCTTCTGAATTTAGTCTACTTGTTTTGCATTCTAGTAGTCTTTTTTAACGTTTCAGTTTATTACGTTGTTAGTTGAAAAATTATTTAAAGTACTTAAACCATAAGGCATAGAAAAGAACCCAGAGTAAACCTTATGTCTTTTTATAATCGCTTGAACAATCACGATTTTTAGAACCTTACATTGGTTTGAGTAGCTAAGGTCATACGTGTTTCGATCTTAAGTACAATTAAAGTTTGGCACACCCATAATTCGAAAATACGCCAAACAGTTTGCAATAATGCAAGCCTTCACAACTGGTAAGTTTTCCTCCAAGTGTTACACGCAGTGTTAGGCACCCAAGTACTCGATTTGGGTGATTGGGATACGGTTTTCATGGGTTTAGTTGTCAAATCGTCAACAGAGACAAATTAAATCTGTGATGATAACTATCGATTAAAATTGGTCAAGCCAAAGTATTGATTCACCGAAACGATATTGGCGATGTTGGCAACTGGGAAGCATGAAACAAAGCAGTTTGAAGCCATTAGGAAAGTAATACTACAAATGGTGTAAATGAGATATTATGTAATTGAATGTTTGTAGTAACTGGCATAACAAAACAGAGAATTGTGTGTAACTAGCTTGGTCCAATCTGGGGCAAGACATTGTACTTATATTCAGTATGCGTGGTTACAAGAAATATACAGCTGGATAATAATTGAAAAGAAAATGTTATATAATCTAAATAAAACTCGAAAATTAAAATTCAAATGTTGAATGAGTGTGAGATGAGTGAGTCTCATTGAAAAAATTAATGAGACCTACTCATCTAAGGGATGATATGTATTTGAGTTGTAATTTTTTGAGTTTTGTAGCAATGCTCATAAAAAATGCCATGAATTAAGAATCCATCGTCTTTAATTAGGGATTAATTCTTTTCAAACAAGTCTGTAAATAACTTTTTACAAACAGTCAATCATAATTGAGGAATTACACAAATATATAAATTAATGTTGAGAATTTCTAATAAATTTGTGTAACTCTTCAATTTATTTACAGGTTGACAATAAAAACTCTACGCATTGCAAGAAAAGACTTAATAAGGTTGCCACTGCTCATAACCCGCGGGTATCTTAAAGTCAGAAATCTCTATTGCCAAGATTCGGATTGGACTGCTCGTAGTAGAATACTCAATCACCTAGAATACATCTTTACTAGTTCTGACCATGTTAGTTTTTTTTTTTTTTTTTGTTTTGGGCAAGACCAAGTTAGTATCTAGGAAACTCGAATTTGCACACCCTGTTTTTTCATTAGAAAATAGTCTCATATGCCTTTTAAACCATGTACGGCCCACATACTGCAAATTCTTTAGTAGAATCATTTTCCACTCCAAAAATTGTAAAACCATCCACTATGTATTTTCTGAGGTAGTATTTTGTTTTGTCCAATATCTTTGACCTTGGAAGATTGAAGCTGAGGCAAGTTTTCGTCTTCTTTTAGGAATTAATCTTGGGGCATTTTGGTGTCGAAGGACTCTCTTGCAATTGTTAAATTGAGATCTTAGAGGTAATAATCTCTGAACTATTGCAATCTAAACTACCCTAATTTGTTTTACATCTTATTTTCATGCTAGGGACCTGAAAAATGTTTTCTAATGACATTCTCTCATTCATAATGGTGGAAATCTGGCCACAGGAAGTTATCATCATAAGATTTCTACACAATTAAATAATGTGGTGAAATTGATTAGTATGGAAAAATCAACACTCATTTCACGAATGTTATTGAAGATAAACTAGTCGAGAATGCAAGCACTGTGAAAGTAAAATAATTGATAAATATATATCATAAATAATGAAATATATATCCAATCCTTTATTCAAACATCAATCCAAACATACTTAATGCATCTTTATAGCAGTCTCCATTTCTACCTCCCCCCCCCCCCTTTTTTTCAATTTTCTTATACAGTGTAATACAATCCAAATTATGTATATTAAAACCAAAAAAAAAAGGAAATGAAATGAAATGAAAACATAACCAATAGCACCAACCCATGAACAAGCCCTTCCTTGGACCTTAATTTTTCATCTTGAGATACTTTTGAAGCTCAGACTCATCACGCCTGGAGAGTTTCACTTTCAACCCATGCTTCATGTACATGGTCAACGCCAGTTTTGGCCTTACAGGATGATTTTCCACCACCTTCACGCGATAACGGTACAGAATCGAGGCTGCTGCGAATTTCATCTGGTAATAAGCAAAATCTTTTCCTAAGCACAGCCGTGGACCGCCGTTGAAAGCCGTGAATTTGTAGGCAGATTCGCTCATGAATCTGCCATCCCTAAGCCATCTCTCTGGCTTATATTCTCTGCAGTCCTTTCCCCATATCTCTTCCATTCTGCCCATCGTATAGATTGCATACACCACTTTTGTTCCTTTCTTTAACACCGTTCCATCAGGAAAAACATCATCCTCAAGAACCTAGACGTTGAAGTACATAAATATTTATTAAGACTAAAAGAAATTCAGTATAAGACCAGCTGGACGATGGGAGACCACGAATGATAATGGATGTGCAGGGATGGAATCTTGTGCTGTCTAAATTGTGTCGTATCAAAGTTTATCAACCTATATCTGACTTAGTTATTAGCTTATATTGTCAAATTCGTGTTGGATTTGTGTTATGCATAAGTCAAGTTTTGTGGGTTCATGTCTTTGTCAATCTATTTATATGATAGATCTAATGAATCAATCTAATTGAAATCTGAATGCACTAAGCCAAATCTGAACTTGCTAGTTTCTTGTTGATTTCATGCCGCTTAATGAATCGTGTCTAGAATTGTTAGGCTTATGAGAGACAATGAAATATTGTTCCAATTTTATGCAAACAGGTGTTAACGATTTTGATTTCGTAGTGCGGGTTCTGCTGTTGCCTGCTCTAGCCAAAACTAATAGAGAAAGAAATAATAAGAAATAAACCAAGACAATTATTTAAAATTCCCATTATGGTGGTTGCTGGTTGTTTTGAATTCTAAATTCTATACACTAATTACTCAGTTGTTTTGAAATTTCAAGGGAAAGCACAAGCAACACAAAATATCCCTAAATATAGGTGATTATGTTTAAAATTTTGAGGATTGCAAAAGCAGTCCAAAGTTTGGAGGAAATCTACCAATGCTTGAGCAACTTGAACATTTGAAAGTAAGGGTGCAGAAAAACATGTTTATATATAGCGCCAAAAAGCCATGCCCAACCTCAAGATCATAATATACTAGTGCATATTATTGTAAGCCTAAATAACATCACTCGTATTTATATCATAATTTTAAGAAAATATGCAGACAGCATAGAGTAACTTCAACTTTTAAGGATTTTTGCTTGGATAAACACAAGCCAACTTCACCGTGGTGGCATACTGCGGGTGAATCCTAATATGAATAAAGAATAAGGTTTTGTGTGACAGATCACTTATGTTTCAAAGAAATTGTTACCTCCTTGTGATCCACCGGTACTGAAGGGTACAACCTTAGAGCCTCTGATAGAGCAGCATGCAAATATTCCATCTTCTTCACCTCTTCTGGCAAAATTACTCGATGGCTTTTGCTCTCATCGCAATCTTTCCTGTCACTAAGTATCTGGCAAATTTCAGCCAGAATTCTTCCTTCAACCACCGGAGTCCGGTCAAGCAGCCAGAAAAACCAGCTCAACGCCACTGATGAAGTGTCTCTTCCGGCTAATATGAAGTTCACACATATATCTTGCAAGAACTTATCCGAAAATGGTTGTCCTTGTTCATCTTTCAGCCCCATAAACACTGTCAGCAGATCTGATCTTTGCTTCTTATCCTCTGTTTGCAAAGAAAGCTCTTTCTTCCTCGTTCGAATCACTTCCTCTGCAAACTCGTCGACACCCTTTATTGATTGCTTCAGTTCTTTCTCCGACCCTAAGTTCAAATATCTCATGGCCTTCCAAATAAAAGTTGGAATAACAAATCGCTTTACAGTTGCTTCTGTCGCTGCCTCAAACGCCTGAGCAAATGGTATTTCAGGCAAGCCAGGGCGTAAACAACCAGGATCAACCCCAAAGGCAATCATGCATACATTATCGAATGTGAGTCTTAGAAGGATGTCTTGTAGATCGATGAGAATGGATTGCTGAACAGAGTCTTCCAAGACAGGCAAGAGCCTAGAGTGCACGAGCTCGAGCAACGACTCAGTGGTCAAGTGCCTAAACTTAGCCGAGTGGAACTCAATGCTTGCGGTCTTCCTCTGCCTCTGCCAGATCTCATCATCGGCATTGAAAATGCCATTACCAAGGAGATCCCTAACTGTATTTCTGAAATATTCTCCTTTAGGGAAGTTTGAGAACTTAGTTTTGAGAAGGTACTCCAAGTTTCGAGGATCCGAAGTCACAACACAATTGAGATTGGTAAACCAAGGGCCTTTGAATGTAAAAGTTCCATTTTGGGTACAAAGCACGCCAGTAATCCACTCGTACATGTCGGTTCGAAGACCGGACACCAAGGATGGTAACATTCCAACGAAGGGCCAAATGGGTAGTCCTTGACGCTTTTTTTGCCTCAAAGAATGTATCACTACAAAAACAAGAAGGGCAAATAATACCTCTACTATTTTGATATCAGCCAAGAAGAACACACCCTGAAGAAAATTGTTTCCGGCGAAGTCGCTGGAAGAGAAAGAGGAAGTCATGTTGCTAGGGAGGTTTTTCATATTTTTGGGATGATAAGGAAGAGGAATGTTGTTTTGCATGTTAGAGTTAGTTGAGAACGTTGTCACGTGTTATATGGATGGTGATTGTGTTTCTTGGCGTGCTTGAGTTTGCACAGCGGTTTGATTTGGTGATCTGAAATGAAGGCTACTTTTTCATGTGACCAACTGAATATGGTCTCTTTTGGAAGAGGGGTTTTGTCTTCATTTCCTCTTCGGTTACTTTTGGGGCTTAAGATTGTGTCAAGTTGCTGATTTTATTTGCACAAATGAGTTTTTATTTGGGTAAACCCTCTTTAAAGGTTTTGCCTATGGTGGATGGGAAGTGGGTGCGATGGTTAACCTAAGTGCACTATGTTTCTAGAGTCTCCTCCACACACGCTTCCTAGTGGCATGTTGTTAGCGATAGACTAATAAAAAATTTGAAGTATGGTCACCAATATATTTATGTAGGCTTAAGCCTCAGCCATTACATCAGGTGGAACCGCCTATCTTTGCTTTTATGATTTGTTGCCGACGTGTTACTTGATGGTAGATTTATGACTAAGTTTTCCAGAATCCATTAACCTGGGTCGGGTTAAACCCATCTCAGAGTTACAAGTTCGAATTTGAAGATAATGTTTGCTGTTGATTAAAATTTCATTATGAAACCGTAGAAATACAAAAATGACTCAATGATTGAATAAAAATTCTAATATTTCGAGGTGTTTCATAATATTTTTAGGTATTTTGTAATATTTCGATGTATTTACACAATTGTTGCAGAATATTTCAAGATATTTTGATATATTTTGACAAATATTTTCAAAAAATAATTCTTAATTTTTTTATTCGTTTTTCCTTTTCTTTTTTTTGAAACAAGTCGAAACGCTTTTATTTTTTTGCTGACTAAAATAATACACCGAAACAAAATTTTCATCATTAATATTTGCACCCAATTCATCCGTCTCAAACTTTGATAATGGGTGACTCACTATTTTTAACTTGTGAGCTTGTTAAATATCTTTGCATGATTTTATAAATAAAAATTTATTTAGACTTCATATAGACATGACAAGATCAAGAGAGACCTACAAGGTATGTCAAGATCAAGACACAAATTCATTTCGTGGCACATATATGAGAATACAGATGATATATATAATTCTTATTGCCCCTCAAAGAAAAATAATTTGGCTGGTCAAATTTCAAAATCTAGTGTGGATTAAGATCCGGTGAACAGCCTATGCCCGATCCATCTATATAATAAAGTATAAAACAATTCAAATTTCAAAAGATAAACAAAATGACTTTTACTATTCATGATTAAGATCTCTTTAAATTTTACTTTAAAGTTAATCTGAAAGTTAATATTAACACCCCAAATTTAATATGAAAAATAGGATCCTAAGAGTGTGTTTTGGATGACTTTTTAAAAATATTTTTAATACTTATAATTTCTCATAAATATTTTTTAAAAAAATAGTGTTTGAAAACCGTCCCACTAACACCTCTACCACCACCAGTCCCATTGCCCCACAATCACCACCCCACCACCACCACCACTGTCGCCACCCTACAACACCCATCACCCTCATTACCCCCGTCAATGTCTGTAAACCCCCATATTCTTGTCTTTATATAATAACAAAATGATTTTGAAATGCACATATATGTAGTGAGGGAAACATGAACTATATAGGTTGTAAAGGTAGAAGTTAGGAAGTGTTCCACAGTTACAACACATTTTTTGATAGAACTTGTGTAGAAAGAATTTTGACACTGCCTTAGTATTTGAATCATAAATTTTTATCTTGATATCCGTTTGATTTGAAATTTTTACAGTAGACACTAGACTTCCAGGGTTACAAAAGTATATTTTACTAAAATTTTCCAAATTGACCTTTAAATAGGTCAAAACTTTATTGAAAGTTTCAACAAAAACTAGGAGTCCATTCGAACGTGAATCTACGTTTGAATGACAGTGAGTCCCAGTACTTTGGTGCCTGTAGAGCTCAGATGAAAAAGGTAAAAGTACTGGAAACAACTAACGTTCAAATGTCATAATGACGTTCAAATGTGAAATAGTAATTTGCACTACTAACGTTCGAACGCCAAATGACGTTCAAATGTGAGTTACGATTTTGAGTTTTAGATTCACGCACATGAGACTGTTTCTCCTACTATAAATACTTAAGGACACTTTTCTTAGCCCCATTTCAACATCTCTAACCCTAGAAAGTCTTAGAGAGTAAAAAAGAAAGAGAAAAACACAAGATCCTGAGATATTTTCAAATTTAAGTGGATTAAATATTCTAAATTTCTTACAATACTAAGAAAGCAAGGCAGAGGTTTCTTCTCACTCTTGTTCATTGAGGCTAGGGTTTATATATATATGTTCTAACTCTAAATCTTAGATATATGTTATGGAATCCTTGTTTCTTGATGATCTTGCAATCTTACCATGTGTTTGAGTGAAGTTATGGTTTGATAGCCATAAAATTCATGTTCTTGATGTCCAAAACTAGTTTTTCAAGAAATAGAGATTTTTCTCTTGATATTCATTTGTTTTTGATTTAAAAACTCTAATGCTTTGTTTGAACACTAAAAATTATATATTTGATGATCTTTTGCATATTTTCTTAAATTGTTCCATTGAAAAAATACATGAGAATTGGGGGTTCTTGATTTACTTGTGATTTGAGAAGTTAGTTTGGTATTGTATCTCTTGTGTGGTTGTTGGATGAACATGGGTGACCGTTGACCCGAGCATCGTAGAGTGGGTAGATGCGTTTCTTACTTGTGTGTGTTTGAAGGTTCCCTACCACTCGTAGTGGGGTTGGTGCCTTGCGAGGACCAAATCACTATTTGCTCACGTGGTATCGAGGTTGAAGGTTAGTATATTATTCTTGAGTTGGATCATCCCTGTCGATGCATTGGTATACACTCTTTCTAAAGTTGTATATCCTTGCGAGGATTGAGTGTGTGTGTGTGTGTGGACTAGAATATTCTCAATGTGTGTATTCAAGCAAAGTCTTGCTGCATATCTGAGATACAGATACATAATGTGGGTAATGATACATTGTGGGGAATGATACAAGAAATTTTTAGAAATGGTTTATTGTTAGAAATGGTAAATTGTTGGTAATGGTTTATTATTTGGAAATTGATTTTAATTTATTTAAATTATGGCTACTGTGTAAACTTAAGATCTGATGAACTATCACTGCTTTATTTTAAAAGTTATATATGACATTTGTGAAATGAGACCACCATGTTTTATATGTTTTTACACCTTGTTCGAGCTTGAGAGGATTTTTCTACAGAGCTTAGTGCTCACCCCCTTACAAACAACATTTTCAGATTTTGGTCTAGAGGAAGAGTTCGGAGTTCATGAGCATGTAGCTTAGTAATGTTAATTGGATGGAAGCGTGGATCCCGAGGGGGATGTCTGGAGTTGTTCTCTTTATGTCCTAGACTAGGAGATGCATTTTGAGACAATGTATGGATGATATTTTGTTTATTTCACTGCAAGATAATATTTGATTTTTAGGTGTAATTACCATAGTTTGACATATTCTTTTGGATGATGTTATAGATATTATGTATGATGAATATAATTTTCTTTATTTATGGATTTTATTAGTTGTTCTCATGATGTGAATAGTTTTAGATAGTAATGCTATCCAAGGTAGTTTTTGGGGCATCACTAGTGTGGTATTAGAGTCTAGGAATTAGGTCTTACATGGGAGTTGTAGGTTATGGATTATCACAAGAGAGGGAGGACTAGGTTGAATGAATTGTTGGTCAAGTAAATCCACCACCACCACTACCTCCAGATGCCATGAATGACATTTGTCAATGCCTAAGGGATCTAACCACTTTGGTACAACACCGGAATGGAAACAACAACCACAACGAAGGGTTGCAACCATTAGCTCCTGTACCGGGCAACGGGGGTGAGAATATAAGGATGATAGTTCTTAGAGAATTCTTGAGGCAACGCCCACCTACTTTCCAATGAAGCTTTCACCCTTTGGAGGCAGATAAGTGGATTCGTCGGGTGAAGAAAATGTGTGATAGCATAGGAGTTGTCGAGGATCTACGGGTCGGCTTAGCTATATATCTATTGGAAGGGGAGGCAGATCATTGGTGGGATTTAGTGAAAAGAAGGAGGAACACTGATGATTTTACCTAGGAGGAGTTTGATCAGATCTTCCAAGACAAGTATTTTCCTGAATCGGTCAGGGACAAAATGAGTGCAGATTTCTTGGCTCTAAGACATGGTAGCATAACGGTGACAGATTATGAGAGAAAATTTGATGAGCTATCCCGCTATGCCACGGAGTTCATCTTTATTGAGGATAGGAAGACCAAACAATTTGAGTAGGCCTTGAGGCTTGCCATAAGGGAGAAGCTTTTGACTCACAAGATTTGGGACTATGGAGATCTTATCAACAAAGTTGCACTGGTGCATAGAGACACAGAGGACAACCAGAGACTACAGAACTTCGTGAAGGGAGGTCCGATCAAGACAGGTGCTAGTAGCAGTGGAGTGTAAGGGGTTACACCATATCGTCACCTAGAACAGGTGGTTGGACAGAGATTTTAGACAGCTCAAGGAGTTGGAGGCTTATCGGAGAGGGTAGGAGTAGACTCACGAGCTTGCTTTGTATGTGGAGGTCTGGGGCATATTCGGAATCATTGTTTGATCTTTCCACCCCAAAAGAATACCCAGACGACAAGACAAGTAAATGCAAATAAGCCACCACTATAGAAGCTATTACAATAGAAATCGTTAACAGCTACAGCCCCAGGCGGTACCAATAAAGGAAGAGTTTTTGCTTTGACACAACCGAAGGAAGATATTTCCAATGCAGTTGTGGAAGGTATTACGCTTCTCTATAATTCTTGGGCCCGAATTTTATTTGATCCTGGTGCTACTCATTCCTTCATATGCATTACATATGCTATTAAATTGGGATTAGAACTTGAGAATCTAG